ATAACCTATTTAGTTTAAGTTCCATCTTAAACAATAGCTTTTAAAAATCCATTTAAAATCGAGTTTAGGATTTTCCATTTGCAGAATAGAAAAGAAATGTAGGCATTTTGGTAGCAAACAAAATTAAAGGAGTAAAAAATCATAGGCATAGCCACTGTGATGATCAATTATTTTTTATTGCTTATCTAATTCACAAGTTAATTATTTTTTTTAAAAATTGAATGACTTAAGTTGCTATTCATTACAGTAATGGGATTTAAAACAGGTATTAAAAATACAAATGATTAGCGTCACCATTTTTTATCGAATTGAATCACTAACATTATTTTCATGATAATAATAAGAATTAAGAGCTTCATGACTTTAAAATAATATTTATATAAAACTAATAAAGAATGTACTTTTTATTCTTGGTGCAGCTCATGAACACAGCAATCACAAACACAAACTTGAAACTGGAAGGCATACATTTCCATTTCAATATCAGCTTCCTCTTGGCCTGCCATCCACATTTGAGGATACAAATGGTCATGTTAGATATCTAGTGAGCTGTACCATAGACAGACCTTGGAAAGTAGATTTTAAAACCTGGCATCCTTTCACAGTTACCAGTTACTTGGATTTGAACATGAAACCAAACTGCATGGTTTGTAACACTTTTGAAAAGGGGAAATTTCTTAATTTATTTTTTAATTAAAAATTTTACTGGTTTATCAACGTTTGCAAGTAAGCCTATCACCCCTTTTCTGAACACCCTCTAAAACAGAATTTAATAAAAGTGTATGGCAAAATGACCTCATTTATTACTTTCTAATAAAAATTTTATATTAATTTAGATTTTTAATTAATCATTTAAAATATTTTAGTTCATTAATAAATAATCAGTTTCCATCAAACAGCAAAGACAAACGGGCACTCGCTGGAAACAGTTCTGTTGCTTGTGGTGTAAGTCAGGACCAATTGAGGCAACTTTTCACATTAACAGACAAGGCTATGTGCCAGGGGAAGCCATCAAGCTTAATGCAGAAATCAGTAATAGCTCAAACAAAAAGATGAAATTGTCTTATGTGGATCTCATTATGGTAGGTAGCAATTTTTTTTTCATTTTATAATGCATAAACTCCAGTTTTATATAAAACAAAATATTTAGGACAGAGTAAACACTTTTAAAAATAATAAATTTTAGTCATAAAATGTATTTTAATTGCAAGAAATAAAAATTTCAAAAAAAAAAAAAAATGATTTATTCAAGTAACCTACTATTAGTTTAGGTATTGGAATAAAATTTGGTGTAAATTATCAAGTTTATTCAAATTAACATAAATAAAAAAATTTAGGACAGATTAAACACTTTTAAAAATAAAAAATTTTAATAATAAAATGTATTTTAATTGCAAGAAATAAAAATTTCAAAAAAAAAAAAAAATGATTTATTCAAGTCACCTACTATTAGTGTAGGTATTGGAATCAGATTTGGTGTAAATTATCAAGTTTATTCAAATTAACATAAATTATGCTTCTAATTTTCACTTTAACCATTGCATAATTAACAAATTTAACCAAAGTTAACCATGGCTCAGACAAAATGTTAATGAAGTTTTCACAATGTTCTTTGTCAAAAAAACTAATTTTACAATTTATCCATACCACAGTGTTTTCACTATGAATCTTGCCCATATGTAAATGATCACTAATATAAACTAATTAAGTCATTATTGTCACTAAAGGATTTTATTTATGTCTGATTTTTACACTAGAGAAATACTTAAGATGTGTTAAAATTGTTATTATTGTAAAATGTTGCCTTGATTTAAATATATATATATATTAATTAACGTGCTGAAAATGAATAAGTAGAATTATTTATTTGGATCAATAAAGAATCTTATCTTATTTTATTTTGCATTTTTCTTCTATTGAAATTATTTTTACAGAAGAAAACATTCCATGCAACAACTTTGTCAAAGATTGAGTGGACTCAGATTGCCAGATGTAAACATCCAAGCATCAGTTCTCACAGTGAAGATGTTTGGAAAGGGGATGAGTTGGTCATACCACCACTACCCCCCTCCTTTTTGACAGGATGTAAAATCATTGACATTAACTATGTTGTACAGGTGAAGCTTACCTCTGATAGTTAAAAGCTAAAGAAAAAATAATATGAACAATTATAATAAATTCCTGAATAAAAAAACAACACATTATTGACAAACCTTTAGTCATTTTCTTTTACTGTTAAAATCCAACAGCTAAGCATTGAGCCATCGGGACCTTACTCAAGACTTACTATTCCCCTGGATATCATCATAGGCAGTGTTCCACTAGCTTGTATTACTGAGGATCACATAAATACATACCTTCCCAGCACAGATAGGGAGGCCTTAGATTTTAGTGAAATGTCTTTAACTCCATCTCTGAGGAATGATAATTCTCTATCAGGAGGAGACAAATCAGTTCAGAGTGAGTATTGAGATTTTTCTCAAGCTTGTTCAAGTTTTGTTGATTTGATGAATATTTAATTTTTTTCATTTCTCTAAACATCTACAATAAACATTTAATATACCAAGTGTTGTTCAGTCACATGACTAAGGACAACTGGCTATGTTTCAAAGTCAATGTGACACCATTTTCAGTTGAAAATTGCTAAGACATAAAATTTGAATCTTGATATTCAATCTAACATTGTTCCTCCATAATTTGAAATCAAAATATTATAGGTGTGAAAACTCAAATGAGCAAAGCTTGACGTAAATGTTTTAACTTTCATTTCTACTTTGAAATCATTCATACACAAATAGTGTTCTTGACAGCACAAATACAATGTCCATTGTATTAAACTAGAATAATGTTAAAACACCAAATGGACTGACTCTATTAACCATTGTAAAGAATTTACCTTTAAATCCTGTGCTTTTCAACCTAGATCTTAATTTTGTGGGTATGTTTTAGCTAAAGAAAAGTAATAAAATTATGAATATGTCTTTTTTTTTCAGCACCTGTAACACAGTACAAAGAAAGCTTTTTTGGCCCTGTAGCTGTCTGTTCTGTTAGTAGTTCACATAACAGAGGCAAGAAACAATACACACCAATGTATCCTTACTATGACAGCCAAAGTATCAAATAAATATAAAATGTTATTACACCATGAATTGGCTTGTGCAATATTGTGCAATGTTGCCAACATTTTATATTTAAGAGCTTATATGATTTTCTCTCTTTGTACAATTATTATCTCAAACACTCAATTTGAAACAATGGCAATATTTTCATGGTCTTACTCTTTTTCATTACACTCAATGAATATTTAACGAAAATTATTTCTTCAATATATTATGATACATTTAGTGGTAGTTTCTGTGTGATGATACAGTAGCTGACCCTGGCAAAGGAGCATTGTCACTATTTATAGGAATAAAAAGTAAAAAGTAAAACATATTACATCACGATAACGATGAGCACCTCTCTAGCAGCATGATAATTTTGTTCTATTTAATATTACAGATAGCTTATGGGTAAACATAAAGTTATTATATCACAATAAATATGTTTATTCTTATCATTAATGGATAGTTTTATTTTATACCTAAGTTACTTTTATTCAGGCCTTACGAAGTAGCTGCTTACATTATAAATTGCTCCTCAAAACTAGTTTAAAAGAGTTAGCATAATTTTAAAAAAAACTTAATTTACAAAAATATACAGTGGCACTTTAATTGTGTTAAATACTGGAACAAAAATTTAAAAAAATGTATCATATCTCATGATAAAATAATTTATTGAGTCAAATCATAATGATGAAAGCAATGGGTGGTGACGATGCCAAATTTCGTTTTATCAATCCTGGTTACTGCCTTAATGTACCAACCTGGAAAATGAAATTCAATTAAATTGATTTTTTAAAACCTTTTTAATTTTACTGGCAATATTTATACAAATGTTTATTCAAAAGAAGGAAATAACTTTTTTAAAACTCCAAGCTCTTATAAATAAAATTATTTTATGTTATATTGTCTATTTGTCAATAATTGGTATTGAAAAGTACTTTTTAATAAATTTGATTTTGTAATTAAATAAAGCCTAGAGTCTATATTTTTACACTTCCTTTCTAAATGTAATTTTTTTTTTAAATATGAAAAAATACGAGGAAAACCTTAAATAAACATAAATGAGTATATAAATGGCAAGTAGGGGCCTTCTTTTTGGCTAAATAGATGGTCAATATCTGGTTATATATTTGTCACTACCTCTTGGCTACTCATATGGCATTCGAACAAGCCTGGTTAAGGTCCCCTTGTGGGCCACAGTTTAAGGACCCCTGCTTTAGGTTCACAGTAGGTGTTGTTTTTTTTAAATTTTACTGCCCAATCCACTACTGGATTATTTTTAATTTATTTTGTTACTACTAGGCTACACAGCCATTTTTATATTTCTTTATTTTATTGGTTGTTAGTTTAATAAATCAACATTGCTACGACCGTTTTTATTGGAAATTTAACAAATCTATTATTGATTAATTGATTTTTATGTTTTAATGGATATATATATAATGGGAACTGCAGATTTTTAGATGCTTCGAGTATAATTAATTTATTGTATTATAGCAAAATCATTAAATAGTTGGCATATATGTCATATTTTTTCTAATATATGCCTGCTGATAAGCCTGTACTTTCCTGTATGTATCTCATGGTGCTTTCATTATTTAAATTTGGAACACCCGCCCCTCTGTGTTAATTATTTGATTATAAAAACCTAATGCCTAACATGCATATTTTAAATAATATTTATATTTTGTGTTAATTAATTACTCAAATATACTTGAGGATTAACAATGTAAACACATTTTTTATGAATCTTTAAGATCTTTATCATGAAATTTTCAATAAAAACTATATTTTTGAACGGATAATTGTTTTTATTAATTTATTATTTGTTCAAAAATTTCACTGTTCACCGGTTACAAAAATTTCTTATCTTAAAAATCATAAGAGCTATTTTGAGGCAAAGGGTTAAAGGTTAGTTATTGTAAAAATGGATATTGTTGTAGTTGGTAGTTGCAATACAGATTTCTCAAGGTTTGTTGTTATGTTTTTTTAAAGCGAGTTAAATAAATTTTTATTAAACAGTAAAATTACATTCGTAGTAAGTAGATACCTTTTAAAACTTAAAAGTTTTAGGTAAAATCGTAATTTAGATATAGAGTTATACTTATACTTAGTAGTAGCATATAATATATAATAATTAATAATATATACTATATAAATTATATAGATTTCTAAATTAAGGTAGTATAGTTATACTTAAACTTAAAGTTATTATAGTATTATAGCCATTATAGTATAGTATACTGTATAGTTTGAGTATAATTATAGTCGAAATTATAGCGTTTTGTTTTAGTTAAAGTTTTAGTTTATTTTTTATTATTATTATACTTTAAAACTTTATTAATTATAAATTTATATTGCTGCAAGGCTGCAAGTGCAATAATAATATATAATTATAATTATATGCATGGATATGGTCCATAATAAATAATTAAATATGATAGGTCTCAATCAATAATAAATAATAACTATCTATTCAAAAAATATTCTTAATTTAATTATTAGACCTATTTTTAAATATTTTTATACTATAAATTATAGTCATAAAAATAAAAGTTTGGTCCGTGCTTTGTGTACAGAGGATAGCTGATATTGATGACATGAAATTAAAATTTATGAAAATAGATGTTTGGTGAAATAAATTTGGTTACTTATAATAATTAAGTGCTACTTATAACAATGCCCCTTTCACTTTCGTGGTAGCTGCCTTTTTGTTGTATTTGTTTGGGCCTCTACCTCTAGTGTTTGTGAATCCCTGCACAAGGTGGTAGGTTCTGATTTTGGTCCACCCCGGGTATTTTATTTCCCTGGTACCCACCATATCTGGAGACCTCTCCCCTAACTGCCACCTGGGAAGAGAACTTGTTCAACACATGGGAGAGCAACATCCTCGGGAAAATATATGGTACCTGGTAATCAATTACAGATGGAGAATCCTTACAAACCAAGATATCAATTGTACAAAGACCCTCCCATAGCCCCAGCAATTAAAAAAGGTAGACAGCACTGTACAGGACACCTTGTAAGGATGCTGAATTTTAGAGCAGCAAAAGTGATCTTCAGACAGAAACCTAGGATCAGGCAGCTCACTGGTCGACCAAGACTGAGATTGACCAAGGATGTAGAGCAGTGGTAGGCAAACTCATTAGTCAAAAGAGCCGAAAATCAGCAGCATAACGATTAAAATATTTTTGAGTGCAAAATTTCTTTTCAAGAACCTGTCAAGAACCATTTTTTTCAGAGTCAAAACTGATTTGTGGCCAACTGGTAGAGTCGCACTCAGGTCGCTGAAGAGCCGCATGCGGCTCATGAGACACGGTTTGCTTAACACTGAAGTAGAGTAAGACTTAGACAAGCTGAGGTTTCGTGCTTCGAGTGGGACAGCCATTGATTAATCTGAATGGGAGGATGTGGTGGAGCAGGCCAGGACCTTACATTGTCTGTAGTGCTACTGATGATGATGCAAGGTCACTTCGAGAACTTTGTCTTTGCACGTGTGCCATATATATTAACAAATTTGCTGACTGCATTATCCATGTATGGTACCTGCATACTGCATATATATGTCAAATGGTGTACAAATAGTAAAATACAATACAAATTTAACAAATTGTACTAGAAAAAAAAATTTAAGCTCAAGCCATCTTTTGTCATTTACGGCAATATTTATGATCTATTCAGAGATCTCCACCATTCAGGCTTTCTTAAAGTAAAAGTCAATTGACATAGTCTTCAAATAGTCTGTAATAATTGGGAAAAACTGCTCAAAAACTTAAACTATTCAGAGGAGTATATAATATTAGCTTTCCAAAGTTCATAGTGTTTATAAAGTCTACATGAAAATATCTGACAATCTCTATCTACTCTGAAGTAAGTTTTTAAAAACTTTTCCATAGCTATGTATCTCATCTGCCTCTAAAGGGAGAGACTTTAACTGGCCACAAATTTGAAACAGGATTTGGAGGCAAAGGAGCAAACCAATGTATTGCTGCGGTTAAACTTGGAGCTCGTACCGCAATGGTCGGGAAAGTTAGTAACTGTTTACTTCCAGTTTTCATTCAATCAAAATGCTGATATGAAGTAAGGACATTGCCACATACTTGATCCAGGTGTATGTATCTGCAAGGTTGTGTGTGGGGGAAGGGGGAGGGGGGAAGAATAGAGTGTGGGGTATGTAGACTCAAAGTTGCAGTCTTGTTTGAAAAAACACTTCATAGTTTGATTAACGAACCTCTGAGCAATTGTCATACATTTCATGCTAATAACTTTTAATTATGCAGCTGTATTACTTTTTTAACTTTTATTTCATAAGTAAATGCAATAACACAATTTACTATATCAACATATAGACAATGCTCACATTCTGCCTCCTTGGGTAAAACACCTGAAATGTTAATATCACTACTCAGTGCAGCTCTGAGTAAAGATTAAAATTAATAATTGTCATGGTGGCCTGCAGAAGCATTTCTGAGTCCGCATACAGATTTAAGTATGTGAATACCACAGCTAAACTTGCATACTAATTTAAGCATATAAATACCTTAGTTTTCAAGTTGCAAATAATGTAACTTTCAAAAAGGGGCTCATCAATTTATCATTAAATTAATTAATTTCCATTTTATTATTTTAAACATTTTTAAACATATTGAATGATCAGTTTAAGAATTTAATCTTGGTTGTTTCAGCTTGGAGATGACATTTTTGGTGATCAATATTTTAATAGTATGAGAGCCAATAATGTTAATTGCAGTAAGTAAACTTACAATATTTTTCTCTTTAACTTAGCAGATATACAAATCTATTTTTTGTATGCATTTATACTTTTTTCATGTATATTCTTGCATCCTTCATCATTACTTCATTAAAATAGTTATTTCTTAGCAATAATCATTTTTTTTCCCATTATATTTTTATTTGCTGCAGCACATTTAAAGCAAGTGGGTGGTGCCTCTTCTGGTGTGGCATCTATATTTGTTGGTGATGATGGTATGCCTCAAAATGTTTTTAGAATTTTCACTGTTGTTTGCCATTTAAAACTGAAAAATTATGTGTTAGCAAAATTTATTTCTTACTTACTTAACTTACTTTCACTGTAATGAACTCCTGTATTGGCAATGACTAATCCGCTCCTGTTGCTTCTTAATTTCTTAAAATTATTTTATTTTTGCCAACTTCTGCACATAGTTATCTTATTGCCCGTAACAACGGCTTCATGAAAATGTGTTTTTCTGTAGGCTCCAATTGTATTGTGATAGTGCCAGGTGCCAACAATTTATTGGATGCCAACGACGTGGCTGATGCAGAAGATCTCATCAAGTCCTCAAAGCTTGTGGTGTGTCAAAATGAAATCCCCCAAGAGACAACACTGGCTGCTCTAAAGCTGGCAAAAAAACATGGAGGTGAGTTGCGCAACAGAAATGTCTATGTGTTAAATACCTCGGGATTCAGTAACTTTTTGGCTTGCACCCTATCCCCATTGCAATGTTAAAATTTTCTATTCATTTGACATCATGGTTTTTTGGAAAATCAGTTCCAGAAAACATTGCACATCTGTTATTTTAATGGGGGGAGAGGGTGGGGCTTAAAATTAATTTGGGCGCAATCTTAATTTATTTGAAAAGGTATCAAAGCATATATCTGACTAGTATATTTGAGTGTTGAATATAATTTTTTACCGAAATGCATGTCAAGGATTAAAAAAGGTCAATGGATTTTTGAGTTCTTAAATTTATGTTGTTAAATGATGTGAAAGGAACAATTTGAAACTACCACCACAAAATCCACACTTTTGGAGGAGAAAATTTTGCACACGGTTTGTTTAATTATCAGCTTGACTTATATTTAATATGGCATGTAAACAAATTTTGTGTCTTCAACTCTGGAAGTAAATAGATCAGTGATTCTAAAAATAGATGCCATGACCTAGATATTCCATAAAAAGTATTATGTACAAACTTCTTGTCACCAGAGCTGATTGCTCATGAGATTTTGTGCCGGACATAAAAAGAGCATAAAATATTCAGTTTCATATTTAGTTAAGATTTTATACACCTTTCCAAAAACATCTACCAGAGAAACAGGAAGAATTTAAGATAAATGAGCATTTCACTTTAAATTCTTTTAAATCTACACCATCCACCAAGAGGCATATTCAAATTCATTAGATTGAATTAGAATTTCAGCTTCAACAATTTTCTGTTCCTCAATTCATAAAATACAAGAATATCATTTACAAATAAAAAATGTTAATATTTAGAGTCATTGCTAAGTTACTAATTAAAATAGCAACTTACTTTGTTTTACCCTGCTAAGGTGGCAGCCTACTGCTAAGTCCTAGACCATGAAAAAGCCTTTAAGAGCTGCTAATTTGTATTAAGTCTACAATGCTTATTTTTCTTATAATAAATTTTAAAGTTACCATTTTCTGCAATTAAACTTATTTTTTTTTTCTTTGAAATTTAAAATTTATTTTTCAGTGAAAACAATTTTCAACCCTGCCCCAGCTCAGAAAGACTTTGACCCTGAACTTTTCAAAGTTCCAGATTTCTTTTGTCCGAATGAAACTGAGGCATGCCATATTTTACAAATTTTTTCAACAAATAAAACTTTGATTTTTGTTTTTGTTTGTTTTGGAAAACAGGGAATGGGTGTGGGGTGGGGTGGTTCTGATCTTCAAAAAATGTAATAAATCTGTAACATATTTATAGATATTATCATTATGCATCTCTAATAGTCGATTCAGGATATTCTAATCTATTATTATTGGTGATATTCTATTAAAAATCTTATAACTCATTTATTAAAACCTTCAAATATAGCTTGATGGTAAACCTTTGAAATATGTTTATGCAGATATGTTCAAGTAATTCTTAAAACTGTCTATCAGAGGTTCTTTTAAGTTACAGTAAACATCTTTAAGTTACAGTAAACATCTTTAAGTTACAGTAAACATCTTTAAGTTACAGTAAACATCTTTAAGTTACAGTAAACATCTTTAAGTTACAGTAAACATCTTTAAGTTAAGGTCAACATTGATCTCTTTTCGTATCTTTGTGACAGGCCTCCCTGTTGTTAAATCAGCTTGTGAATGATCCTGAGACAGCCATGACGGCAGCCAGGCAGCTGGTTGAAACCAGGGGCTGCAACTCTGTCATCATTACCCTTGGGGAGAAGGGAGCTGTGTACCTTGCTGGCAAAGATGCTGAGCCTGAGCACATCCCAACAAGTCCTGTCAGAGCTGTGGATACAACCGTTAGTTTTCCTCTAATTTTACATTTTTATTATGGTTTTATCTATAAATTTTTTTTAATGTGTCTTTATGAAAATGATATAATAAAAATAATAAAAAAGAGTTCAAAATTATACATGTCACTCGTGCATAGATCTTCAGTTGAGCCCCTCCCAGGTGGCGGATAGTGGAAAGTCCACAAGATATGGTGGTTAGGATACTGGGTAAATAAAATACCTGTGGTTGGCCAAAATCAGAACCTAATGCCTTGTAGGAAGTGGAAGGATGCACAAAGACTAGGGAACCTTACCCGAAAATTAAGGCCGCTACCTAGAGAGCTACCTGCGCTCTGCACAGAGGAAATTCACCCGAGGGGTTTAAACTGAGTCAATCCCAAGTATGAACTGGACTTCAATCCACAGCCTAGACAAGAAAAAACAACACCAGCGCCCTGAGTAGATGGGACTCATTAACCTTGGGTGGTATCTCTTCTAAGAGAGAGCTAGCTCCGAATTTAGCAGAAATAAAAAAATTAGTGGCTGCGCTGGGAGGAACACTTACAGTCAACTTCAATTTAATTTAAACTTAGACGAAACATTCTTCTTTTTTTTTGTCTGATCTTTATATTTCAGGCTTCCCCAAACATTAATTGCGAACACTTAATTTTTGAAGTGTTTTTTATTTCTTGTTGTTTCTTCATTTGTTCAATTTGCTGAGGAAGGTTCTTAGCTGAAACATTCTTTTTATATTGTCCTTTCGTCTTTATATTTCAAGCTTCCATATACCTTGTTCCCCTTTTTCCTTCAATTTAAGCTACAGGTTTTAGTTAACCACCATGTTATAATAATATTTATAATATAGTCTAGGTGCAAAAAAAAAAAAAGGTGCATTGTTTTTGCTTTATGCATTGAGTATATTGTCTTCCTTTCACCCATTTAACATTACCACTAAGCTTTTGGTTAATAAAATAGACAGTTATGAATAATCTATTAGTTCATTTTTTGCTCACTGTATTTCAGGGTGCGGGAGATTCTTTTATAGGATCTCTGGCTTTTTTCATGACCACTAGGCCTGATCTGCCTATTGAAGAAATGATTAAAAGAGCTGGACAGATAGCCGCTGAAAGTGTACAAAAACCAGGGACCCAAAAGAGTTTTCCTTTTGCTAGTGACCTCCCTTCACATATCCTGGCTTAGGGTATAATGACTTATTACAGCTATTCCCAATAATTATTTGAAGCCTATGATGATAATTGACTTTTGTTACTTAATTTCTCTTTACCGAACGAGGTGAATTTTTTTAATATTGTTTTTCTTTTTGACAAAAAAACATAATTGTAAAACATAAATATTAAAATATTTAAATAAATTTTAAAAGTTTATATGGTATAAAGTGGCATCATATGTATGAATAAAACAATAAATCAATTAAATTGAAAGATTTGTTCTCAGTGGTCAACCGATTAAATATTTCTCAACAAAACCATGGAAGGAATCTACTTTCAATTCTTTAAAACACAGTCTAATGGATGCCTTGAAAGATTTTTTTTAATTTTAAAATTCAATATCATGGGTTATTTTTAAAATAATTTACTAAATCATATCTAAATTTATTACTATCAATTTGATTTATGTATAAAAATAAATAATGACTTTCCAATGAAATGGCAAGATTAGTTTAGTTGTTTTAGAATTTTAAGTTTTGCTACAGCTTGATACCAAAGTTCAGTTCAGAAATTAAATTAATTCAGGAAAGATTTGCCTATTTCTGCATGGACTCTGAACTCAGTTTAAATGAATTGAATTTCATAAATTAATGCAATTTTATTTGTTTCAATCTTCACACATTGGGGTCATCAAATTATACCCTGCTAACTCATCTGTCCAGTCAATCCACTATTGCCCTCAATGTTTAAAGAATATGATTAGCTGGCAAGCGTTACTCACAAGATGTGTATTTATATGTTTTAAAAAACACACCATATCCTAGGCTAATCAGTACTTCTTTGCATGGCTAAGATGCTGAAATTTTACTAATAGTCATTAAAAATCAACTCTTTGATTAAGTTTTGGCTCTTTAACCGTTTTGGTTTCCATTTCTGGTAAATAAACCTTTCTTTTATTCATTATTATGAACAGTCTGAAATAAATATCTGTCCCTAGCCTTCTGTCTACAAATTATATTAAGCCACCTGTATTATTTGTGCAAGTGAAGTTAAAACCCAACCTTGAATAATTTTTTTGGCCATATGTTGGATTGTGTACTAAATATTTATGCAACTGATGACATATTTTTTTTTATCCAACAGATCAATGAGCAGTCATTCACACAGGTATAAAAGAAGTATTAATTAGCTAGAATAAAATTATTTTGTTCCTACAGTTTTCTTTGCATCACATTTTTTAAAGATAAGTTTACACAGATTACATTTATATATCTTCAAATATGTTTTGTTATATTTTATTAACTGTACATGGCATTATTTATGTTTATGTCATTTTGCTCTTGGCATGAGAAAAACCTTAATGCTATGAAGGAAAAAAAAACGTATTGATTTTAATTTTGATTTACGCATCGATTAACTGTAAATAGTAATTAAATTTTATTTGACTTTGTCTTTTAAGTTTGTTATTATTTAAAAATAGTGATTTTTATTTATTTTTGAGTTAATGTGGCTCATGTTTATTAAATGGTGCTTAGTACAAATTCTATAGTTTGTATAACTATTTAAACAAAAGATTGAGCTGTTGATCGTTTTATACTTTTGCGCATTTTTGTATTAAATTGCTGTCAGAACTCATTGAAATAAAAAAAAAATTTTGTTCAGTGTTAAGAAAAATGTATTGTCTAAAAGAATATTTTCTATGCCGTTCTTAAACATTCCATAACTAATTAAAGTACTGTGTCTACACTTTTTAGTTGTAGTAATTAATATACTAATTTTGAAAATTCAGACACTTAAAATGGTGTTAAATTTACTTTTATAAGCCTGGAGTATGACTCAGAAACTTAAAATTGTGTTAAATTTACTTTTATAAGCCTGGAGTATGATTCAGAAACTTAAAATTGTGTTAAATTTACTTTTATAAGCCTGGAGTATGATAGAGTAAGATAAAGTATATTGATATGTTAACTAGAGATGACTTCTGAAGGGGAAAAAAAAAATAGTTAAGGAAAATGTATATGCATGAAAGAAAGGCATCTCTTACATAGTCTTCGTAGATTTGCGAGAAAAATCTCCACTGAGAGTCAGTTTGGAAGGTTCTCACACATTCAGGCCACCCAAATGAACCTTTAAAATTTGAGACTGGATTGTTGTAGGGGTGTGGTCTCTCTTCGACCTCAACTGCCATTGATTGGCTCATGTGATAGAGCCAAACATGTAAAGAGATAATCAGCTCTAGGAAGAGGCCCTGTTGAGTCTTGACATCTATATCAGAATTTTAAAAGTAATTTCTTCGGTCTCCTGTTCTGTGGTTTAGAGTGCTGGAAGACCACTGGCATACCAGAATGGAAATTTGAAGTAAAAACGGGACCCCAACATTCCTTCAAAGAAATTTTAAAAAATCAAAACTTATTAATTTGCGACTGATGACAATGACTGTTAACACTATATGGCCATGTCAGTTTATGATTGTAAATTATACTTCTTAAATAGCGAATTATTTTAAATAGCCCAACAAAAGGGGCGGGGGTGTATTCTGTGCCTGTTTAACCAAAGGCAAAGTAGGCACATCCCTATGGACAACGAGCCTTGCAAGGGGCCATTTGTCTCGTGTGCCAAATTTGGGGATGACCTTTTTTTTTTTAAATTGAATGTAGGCTACTTTTAATGACGTAATGTACGTAGTGAGTGGCATCTTGGGCATGTCCAAATATTAACATATGTCCATAACAATATAGAATTAAGGAAACTTTTTTTTAAAAAGTAAGAAGAAAAACGCTGTGTGTAAACTATTCCTAGAATGATATTCTACAAAGGTAGAATTTTAAGAGACTCGTCTTTTAATGACAGGATGGGTGAAAAGAAATAAGAAGCACGGTGATGGGTATCCAGTGTTTGCTAGCTTTTTTTTTTGGGGGGGTGGGGTGTATGGTGGGGTGTCCCTTATGGAACAATCATTCGTCAAATAATATGTTAAAGCTTTTCAAACACAATTTTTGTTGTCATTTTTAAATTTAAAGTAAATGAAATTTAAATTTTACCATAGATTAAATAATTTAAGAGAAGATTTATTTTCTCTAGCTTTGAGTTTATTTTGAATTTAAAAAATGCAATTTAAAAACAATTTCACAAAATTGTGGGTGGGCATTAGCAGAATGTTGAGTGAAAAATATATACATTGTCTTCTCTCAGAGGCAGAGCGAGGGGGGGGGCAGGGGGGGACAGATGTCCCCGGGCACCAGCTAGTTAGGGGCGCAAAAATGTGCTTTGATATTATTTTATTGATGAAAATAATGGGTTTGAGAGTTGAAAAAAAGAAAAAGGGGCGCTTTAAAATGGATCTTGTCCCCGGGCGAGAATCTTGTACCCGGGCGTCAAACAACCTCGCTACGCCTCTGTCTTCTCTAAGGACAACTGTTTTACTGTTTGTGACATGGCATAATACTAATAAGTAGTTCATTTTCACTATTCCCAAAAATTGAGCTTTGATTTTATTTTTTGTATTAAATGCCTTTTTCAAACATGTTAATTCGTGTTATTATATATTGTTATTCTTTACTAAGCCTTATTGCAATAATGAATTCCATTTTATTTATTTATTTTTGTTGTTCTATAAATAGGCCTATGTCTTTTCACAATTGCAACCCATTTTATTTAACGCATTTAGGTTGTCTTTTTTAAAGGAAGGAAGCATCTTACCTTTAAAACTATATTATCTTATTATCAAACAAGCCTACAAGTGGGCTTAGTAGCAAAAAATTTGTTTGTCTTGTTTAAATTTGATAACTTATGACTTGAAAAGAATCCATTTAAATATAAATGTTTTAGCATTAAAAATAAACGCGCTTTTGTTTTAAATCATTTTACAAATATTTGAATGAATTAAAAATTATAGTGTCATTGGTAGTGATAGCATTGATTAGCTTATTTTAAAGGAATTTTATGCTTATTAATAAAGGAACTGCGACCACCACATGTGACTAAAAAGTAAGCTTTTAAAACATAATCTCATCGTCTACAATTTAGATCGACAAAATTATATGAGTAATGTTAGTTTATAAATAAAAATTAAAGGATATACTTTATTGTTAATAGGGAAATACTTTGTTTATGTACACACATAAAAATGTATTTAAAAATGTGTCAACCAGCGTTAAAATGCAGTATATCAAGAATGGCGTAAAGCAAGTTTGCAGCTGGATAATATTTTTTTTAAAATTTCTGCAATCCGATCCAATCCGATTTTTTTTTTGTTTGCGTTTCCAAAAGTAGGAGCAACGAGTATCTTGATTGGTCGTTGACAGAATAATGGCGTGTGTGTAACTAACTATGCTCTTGGACGCGCGTGCCCTCCAGTGTGTGTAATCAATGTTGTTATCGGGGCACGCAAGTTGGGAACATGTATTTTCTTGTTAAATTCCGATAACGTATTCATTTATAATTCTTTATTAAAGTGTTGTGTTTTTCATCGGATATTTATGTGTAGCAGCGTATAGTTATAGTATAATTCAGGCCCTACATTACGCTTACGAATGATTGAATTTAAATAAAACTTTATTAAAGTTATTTGTCGGTAGTTTAGTCTTTGTTGTAGCCTAATTAATTAATTAAATTAGTTTAAACTAACACACGCTGAGTTAACTGAATATAATATTAGTGAATATGAGTGACCAGTGTAGTATTTCTTTTTGTTAGTAATAATAGTAGTGTCTCCTTATTGAGACTATTGACAAGACAACATTCAGAAATAATTGAAATGTTGCATTTAGGCTTCATAAATTATAAATGATTTATTTTGAATCGTGATCATGATAAAACTTGTGACTTCGCCTTGACTTGGACTTGATAATTTCAAGTAAAAAAAATAGGTCAGCATTTAGATGATGGGCATGTTAATATTCGTAGCTCTGACTCTGTGACTGTATGTGAAAACCTCAGCACAGCCAAATCATTGGAGCCACTATCACATCTAGAAGCTTGGCAAATAATTAAAAAAATATTTAACAAATCAGTTATTAGGCCTTGTCGTTCAAGTTACCAACCCATAGTTGCATTTACTAACCAGAGTAAAATTTAAAAATTCATTTAACAATGTAGTCCTGGTGGTTTTAGACTATAACAATCATTAACAGGTTACCTGGATATGTAGGCCTGCTAGAAGACATCTTCGTTTAATTTTTATTAAATTTTGTGGTGTCATTCGTCATGTTTTCAAATTCAATATTTTCATTCCTGAGATCTGGATTTATAACATCTAGGACTACAGTGTTTTAAAGTGAGTGGATAAGATCTGTTCAAGAAGGATAATGTTCCCATAACATGTTAAAATTAAAATCTTTTATGTTGAGAGGTGGTCAGTATCATATTGCCAATAAACATTTGGATTGCAAGCCCATCCAAGTTCAAGCAACTTTACATCAAGTTATGGATGAAATATATTTTCAATTTAAAGTGCCAAATCGTATTCATCAATTGCAATCCTGATGGCAGATACAGAAAAGCTGTATATGCAAAGTCCTCTAGTTCTTTGGGTATGCATTAAGTTAACTTTGTCTTTTAAAATTAATCTGAATCTGAACATTTATATGAAGTTTTCCACTTAAGACAATTTTTAGAAATTTCTGCCAGCTTTCTGCCAGCTTTCTGCCCTTGCTTATCACAGATTATTAAAATATTTTGATGATAGTGCCTTGCTTATCGAAGATTAAAGTATTTCACACTTAAGTGGGTTATTTTTGGCAAAATATTATATGATGAAGACTATAATATCTTTGAATGTGAGAAATTATTTTGTCGAAATAACAAAACTCCATGTCTGGTAAAAAAAAATGTTTAAACCACTAAGGCATTTTCTTTTGGTAGGGAAACAAACATACATTGTTAAGATTCTTGTGCAGTTTGATTTTTTTTATGAAACCGCATCAATTTTAATGGCATAGAATTCAGTTTTGTATATTATTTAATAATGTTCTTGCTACTGGCTTAAATTTATCTTTAAAAAAAAACATACAAGCCATGTATCCCCTACCCCCACAATTATTTATTTTTCAAACAGGTTGAAACCTTCAAGCCAAATGATGGTCATCCTTTGGAGTATAGAGATTTGTATGATGGTGTCTTTCTTAATGATGTCATGCAGCAAATGTGAGAAATTTTTTTAAAACTCAAATGATTTATTTAAAAACAAAAAGTAAAGAAATATTATCACATGCTCCTAATTATTTGCATGCACTAGGTTTTGAAAAATGTAATGTTATTAATCATCACTCCCTAAAATATCATGTTTCTATGTTTTTAGTCTTTCTTCTTTTTTTTTTTTCCTTTTTTTTTTTGTAACGAAAAAACCCCCCCCCCCCCCCCCTTTTTTTTTTTTTTTTTTTTTTTTTTTTTTTTTTTTTTTTATTGTTTTCTCTAACTTGGCTTCTCAGTTGCTCTCTTGTTGCTGTCCAGCAATGCACCTTGGTCCATATTTGATAACATGCTCTTGATCGTCTGAGGGGGGGGGGGATAGCTGTTTAAATACTCTCTGTTCTCTTGTATATTTTCTCTCACTTGTTTATTTTGTAATTTCTGTTTGCATAATTTGCTTGGCCTCATTTTGAGGCTCTCAGAGCTGTTGGGGCTTGACAAGGGAAACAATTTTAGTTTGGTGCACAGTCCAGGTGTGCGTGTGCATTTAGTTTACTTTGAACGTGCCAACTCTGATACCATGTGTGCATGTTTAATCTTACTAGCACATCAAATATGTTATCATAGAGTAGTGCTATTTGGGACGTAAAATATCAAAAAAATATTAATGCACCATAAGATCATGTCCCAAATATATGAGATTTTGTCTTGTACCATCGTTTGGAAAGTAAGGTAGACTTGGGGTTGGATTTGGGTCAGTTTGTAGAGGAGGCACGGTGACCTGTTTAAAGGAAAGTTCGTGGACTAGATTTATATTGTTTCCTGTAACCAAATGAAGCAACGTATTTCTTGAATTTGCCTTCTTGTTTTTCTTGCTGTTGACGCACTCCCATCCCGTGTCCAGTATCTCAGCCTAATTTACTTAATTTACTCAATGTTTACTTAATGTCTTTGAATACTGTGTAGTCCTTAGCGATTTCATCAACGCTTATTTTCGGGTGGAAAATGTTGAGCTGGTTCTCGTGTATGACATCGTGCTCATTCCGTGATAATTGAACTTCTTTGTCAATTTATGGTCTAGTCTGGATTATTCTTGGAACTCATTCTGCCATTGCCCTCAGTCTTATGATTGACTACCTTCAACGCTTGGATAGCTCTTGAATTGATTATTTGGGCACATTTCTGAATTTGAATTACACTCCCCCCCCCCTCTCCTCCATTCCTTACACGCGACCATATTAGGCCTAGATTGTAGAATTGTAGATTGTTAATAAAGCTTATTGTCAGCCGTACCCGGGTGAGTCATGGCCCCTTCCTGTGGACCCATTGTTGTCCAGCTACCTTTACGGCCTGCAGGAATGTCAGGGTCAGGCCGTCCTTTGTGGCACACGGCTCGCCCTGTCCCACCTGAACTGCAGCACCTTGGCTCAGTCTTGTCTCTCTCTCTCTCAGGTATAGAAATGAGACTTCGTATTCTTGAAAAACTATTTGAGAAGAGCTGTGGTCTGTTGCCGCGGCCAGTCACGCTTTCTCGCACAGCTACTGTCACTATCAACCCTCGGCGCCTTGCTTGCATTGTTCAGAGCAGAATGAAAAAAAATGATAATTGTGTATTGTTATAAGGAAAAGAAGAAAGAAAAAAAAAAACGGCCAATTTTAACGTTACTGACTAGTTCCGATAGGTCAGGTTGATATCTAGTTTCCTTATAGTTATAGGGCGATGGCCTAACTGGCACATTTGCAGCATTTAACAACGATCACTAAAATAATATCCAAGGAAGCTACCGGAGAACAGTGACGAGAGATTA